ACTCCAGCTCGGCTTGCACGGGACCCAAGCAGGAAGCCGCAGCCTGAGGTCACCTGTAAACTCCTGGCTTAGTTTGCAGGGGACCCAGAGGGGAAATCACAGCCCTCAGGTCACTTGTAAACTCCTCGCCCGGTTTGCAAGGGATCCAGAAGGGGAATCGCAGCCCTGATGAGTCTCTGGCAAACTCCTGGCTTCGCTTGCAAGGGACTGGGGCGGGAAGTCGCAGTCCTGAGGTCACCTGCAAACTCCTCGCTGGGTTTGCAAGGGACCGGGAGGGGAAGAAGGTACAGCCCTGAGGTCTCTGGCAAACTCCGGCGCACAAAGGATCCAGAGGGGAAGTCACGGCCCCGAGTTTGTTTGCTGGCTCCTTGCCTGCTTTGCAAGAAACTTGCAGCCCTGAGCTGGCTTGCAAGAGACCCCGGGAAAGTGGCAGGTCTAAGGGGTGCAGCTTTGTGCATGTGCTGATGCACCAGATTGGGCAGGCAGAGCTGGGTGGGGGGGTTGGCACAGGAGCCCAAAGCCAGGGGAGGCAGGTGGGCATGCACGTGTGCAGGCTTTGCAGTGCTCAGCAGGCAGCAGCCAAGTCCGCAGGGGCTCCTTTACTCTAGAACCAGCCAGAGGGATCAGGATCAGGATCTAGTTTGCAATATGAGGAGCAAAATCCTGGGAGCCAAAGTGCCAGGCAGGTGGGCATTGGGACTGGGTGACAATGCTACCCTCCTTCCCTGCATAAGTCTAACGCTCCATCCTCTTTTGCCCCCTCTGTCCCACAGGAGATGTGTTCATCCTGGTGTTCAGCCTGGACAACCGGGACTCCTTCGAGGAGGTGCAGCGCCTGAAGCAGCAGATCCTGGAGACCAAGTCGTGCCTGAAGAACAAGACCAAGGAGAATGTGGACGTGCCCCTGGTCATCTGTGGCAACAAGGGGGACCGTGACTTCTACCGGGAGGTGGAGCCCCGCGAGATCGAACAGCTGGTGGGCGAAGACCCCAAGAAGTGTGCTTACTTCGAGATCTCGGCCAAGAAGAACAGCAGCCTGGACCAGATGTTCCAGGCCCTCTTTGCCATGGCCAAGCTGCCCAGCGAGATGAGCCCTGACCTACACCGCAAGGTCTCGGTGCAGTACTGCGACATGCTACACAAGAAGACTCTTAAGGGCAAAAAGCTGCTAAAAGAAGGGGCAGGGGGCAGCGACGGGGAAGCCTACGGCATCGTGGCCCCCTTCGCCCGCCGGCCCAGCGTGCACAGCGACCTCATGTACATCCGGGAGAAGGCCATCGGGGGTGCACAGGCCAAGGACAAGGATCGCTGTGTCATCAGCTAGGAGCCCTTTTCCCGGCTCCCCCCCAGATCCAAGAAACGGGGGGTGGGTGAATAGCTTTGTTTCATAATAAACTGGGAGGCAAAGTGGCATCTGCCCCAGGGTGGGGCAGGGAACCTCTGTCTCCTTCCCCTAAGGGACGATTTTCATCTGCTCCCTCCCACATTTTTTTATTTCAGTGGGGTTGGGGGGGCTGCTGCTGGAGCCTCTTCCGCAACGGGGGAGAGGCTGAGGAGGATTATGGAGAGCAGCAAGATGTGATGGGCTGGGAAATGGAAAGACGCCGTCTCCAGCGCATCTTCCTGAGTTGCCCGGCACCGGGCAATGCCTTGCCTTCGCTCTAAGGAAGAGACCTGGGGAGAAGGGGGTGGAAAGGACTTGAAAATCCAGCCTACGTGGAACACTTCCCAGGGACTGTGCTGTGTGGCTGTGTGCATTTCTGTGTGCAGAATCCACCCCTGCGTTCCTGCAGACATCTGGCAGGTCCCCCCGCTGTCCGCTCTCACCCGAGCAGAGGGCAGGGTGGCGGGGGCAGGGGGTCACAAATGGACTTTTGTTTACATGTCTTGTCTGATTTGCAAAAAAAAAAAAAAGGAAAAAAAAAAAGCATTTGTTTTTTATATATAAAAGATATAGCACTTTATGTATGGTATCTGTTTGTCCTGGACATGAACAAAATCTTATCCAAGTGTTTTTACAGTGAGTGACACTCAGTGTTTTATTTTTTCTACAGAATAAAAAGCTTTTTAAACTGAAATTCTGCCCTGCCTCTGTCTCTGCTTCCTCACTTGGGTTTCTTAACATCCTGGAAGCCCACTGCTTTCCCCTATGGGGGGGGTATGAAAAAATCCCGTGCTGACCAAGTGATCCAAAGCATAAGCGACTTTAAGATGCCCGCCCCTATCAGAACACACTTCTGCCCCAGGACAAAGATGCCTGTTGTCGAAAGTAGCCGAAGAGACCTCCGCCGAGACAGCCGAAGCATTACGGGGACAGGTGAACAGCCCGGCTCAACCGAACAGCGGCTAAAACTTTTTGCTCTGGCACTGAACCAGGCAGAGTGACCTCTGTCGGGCAGTCAGAAAACTGACATTAAGGATTCGAGTCCCTATGTCCATGGTCACAAATAACCCGCTGGTGGGGGGCAAAATGACAGAAACGGCCCATTTTCACGACTAAGTCGATGACTCCCCTATCTGTTATCCTGGTTTGTCTCCCTTGCATATGCAGCTGAACGGTGACTAGCTTTGCACTAAAAATCTCCTGTTCAGATCAGGCATGCAATTCCCTTCCCCTGCTTTGCAGCGTGGAATAAAAAAAGGAAACTACTTCCAATCATTTCATTTGTGTCTGAGAGACTGTGGTTTTTTTACTGATTAGCCTTACAGGTACGGCTTGAGATTCCTGGAAGTGAACGGGAAAAAGGAGGGGAGGAAACTCATTCTTTTTTTATATATTGTTGACTCTGGATTTGACGCCAGGTTTCAGAGCCGTTGCACCCAGGAGTGGCCGCTGGTCTCAATTCCCTAGAAACCAGGCTGTATGCTTAGTTAGTTCCCCTCCCTCCCCCTCCAGCAACGGGGAGCAGACACATCACTTGAAAACAAAAAGAAGTTTGCTTTTGAGGCCACAAAAATCATTGGGAAATTGAGGCATCGTGTGAAATAACCCTTTTTTTCATTTGGACACCAACTAGATGCCAAGTCAATGGAGTCACTTTGCGTTGCAATCCCCCCAGGGCAAAATGTCTTTGGTATTATATTTGCTTTTTCCATCCCGTCAGTCAGTGCCGGGGCATCGCTGGAATGCCTAGTGAAAAACAAAGCGAGTTTCATTCATGAGAAACAGATGAGGAATTTATTGATCTTGGGAGAGTTGGCAGAAATATCCTGCCCGTCATTGCCAGTCTTCCCTTTGCTTTGCCTGTTCTAGCGCTGCATTTCACTGAGATGAGAGGTTTCTCCGCCTTGCCGGCTTCCCCAAGCAATGGCCATTTTATTATACACAGGCTGCAGAATGGTTTATAGGCTAAGGGTTATTTGAAGTAGCCCAGCACCATGTCCCTGCTCTCGCTGCTGTTCCCAGAGAAAGATCCTGGCCTGTCTTCACCGAGCTGCTCCCCGTTTCCCTGCAGCTTGGTGTTTCTTGAACATCAACCCCACCACCTGGGCTGGGGCCCAGCCAACATTCCTTGAAAATCAAACCCACCACCTGGGCTGGGGCCCAGCCAACATGCTACACCCTCCGCTGGGAACCACGCGAGTACAAAACGTTGTAGTGCTTTTATTCATCCATCAGAACCAATGCCCTGCACCCCGTCACACCAGCAAAGGGCCTTTAGCTCCGTTTCTCAAGAAAGTGGTGTGCAGTGACCGAAAGGAAACTCGGAGCCACAGCTCAGCTCAGCTCCCCAAGCTCTATTTTTGCCTTCATGCAATGCAATGCTCAGCCCCCAGCTCATGCAAAGGGCTGTATTCTGCCCTCTGTAACATTCATGGACACCCTCCAGGATGGATTCTCGCCCCTGGTGTCACTGCACTGAAACCAAGGTGCTCAGGATTAGACCCACCCAGACTGGGCCACATAATAGGAGGGAACTGAGGGCATAGGACTGATCCGTGTGGTCTCTCTGCATTGGTGACTCAAACCCCTTTTGCACGTGCCCCGTCTCTGCCCTTCCTGGAGGTTTCACTCTCAAGCCACTTCCCTCCTGCTTTAGTACACAGGGTTGATGTGGGGCAGAGTTTGCCACTGACCACAGTGAGAAGCCCAGGATGAGGGAGGTAGACAGGTGCTGTGCAAACTGGGCCCTGCCCTGCTGGGACACCTGTGGTGGTCCAGGCCTGGCTCTTCTCCAGCAGGCACTAGCAGCTGTGCGGACCCGAGTAACACTTTGGTACTGCAGAGCAAAGCTCAGGTTGGTGGGGGCGCTCCCCTGGCTGTTTCCACACTTGGGACCCAAGCACTGATCCTTCAAGCCCTTCCTCACCAGCTGAAGGGACTTCAAAAAAGCCCCAGTCCAGAGTGGCTGTTGCACCAGACAGCTGCACTCTCCTACAGCCAACTCCGCTGGGTGGATATCGTCCTAGGGATGAATTTGGCCTGGTTGTAGTGCTGAATGGCAGGCCCCCCTCCCCTTCCCGCCTTGCTCAAAGTGCCTTGCCTCTGAGCTGATTTAACACAGCAGGGAGCAAGAGTCCCAAGAGCAGCCAGAGACCCAGGGGAGTGATCTGGGAACCCATCTCCATCCAAGGACACCGGGAAGCCCTCGCCTCAGAGCTGGGTTGAACTCTGCTCTTGGCCCCGTAGCGCGCTCCCTTGCAGCCTGCTCTGGGCTGACAGCAGGAGCAGGGAGCAGACTCCAGCCCGGCACAAAGCAACTGCCCTGCGATGCTGCTCAGCTCCCCATCCCACCACTGCTCACGCACATCCAGGCTCCATAGCTGGGAATTCGGCAGGAGGGTCCATCCCCCTTTGCCCCACCTCAAATTCCAGACCCCCAGGAGCTGCACAGGCTGGATGAAGTGGCTCCATAGGCTGGATCCAGCCTGAATCGGGTACCTCTGCCCTCCCGCTCAGAAAAGCACCACGAAGACGTGCCGGACTGGACAGCTTTCCCAGCCTTTCAAAGTCATGCCCACATTTTGCCCTCGCCCACTCAGTAACCAGGCAAAAGCCATTCAGAGTGTAGGAATCTTTACTGGGATCCGTATGGGGACAAAACATCCTCTACAGAAGTAGCCCCTCTCTCCCAAGAGGCCCCCACTGCATCCGCACGTGAGGAATGATCTTGTCCCAGGTGCCGGGGGCTCGTGATGCTCCGCTCAGCATTCGACTGCTTCGGCAGAGGCGGAGCTGAGCAAAGTGGCAGCACACGCGCCCTGTGCCAGGGGGAAGCTGTTCGACACAGAAAAGATAACCCCCAGCTCATTCACTCCTGCAGCGAGAGGGGCGGGGGGAGCGCAAGGCTTTCTGTCTGCCTGCATTAGTGGGGAAAAAGACAACAGGGATGGGTATCAATACACACAGTCCCAGGGCAGATCAAAGCAAACCCACGGCTGCCACCGTGCTACAGTACAGCAAGTTCTCCAGACTCCCTGTCCCCAAGCAGCCGACACTTGGTAGCGATGAGGCAGGAGAGCAGGGAAGCAGGGAGAAGGTCCCGGCTCAGGGGAGCTGTCGCTTCCCTTCTATTCCTTGGGGATCTCGAACATACAGAGGCTCTTGTATTTCTGCAGCAGCTCGTTCTTGGTCCGGACCTGCTCCCGCAGGTTGTGCAGTTGCTGCTGCTGCTGCTCGGGGCTCACGCCGATGCCGGGCATGGTGTTGATCATCTTCCTCATCTCCTGGAATTTGGTCTTCAGTTCGTTCAGCACCTGGTGGACATCCTGGCTGTCCTTGTCCATGCTGCGGGGGAGAGAAGGAGAGAACCATGGCTCATGTCTCACCTCAGAGACCCACGGGGCTACACCCCCCTCCACTAAAGCCCCCTGGTCATGGGGTCCAACCCCTCCAGGCAGCCTGGGAAGAGGGGCACATCCACAGCAATCAAATGGGCACGGTGATCGATTACATTTTTGCTTGTTTGGGGCAATGCGGATGAAGTGAAGGACTCCTGGAGGCACTGACCTGCTCTTGGACTGGGTCTTGTTACACATGCATGTGCACACGCACTCTGAAGATTAATCACATGAGGTCTCCTCCAGGCTGACACCTATGATCCATGCCCACAGCTCACTCCTTTTGGTGCATTTTGTCCAGCTGGGATAAAACTACTGAGAGGGCCCAAGGCAGAGGAACTAGGCCAGCCTAGCTCTGCTAGCGCCCTTTGCCCCTCACCTCTATTTAGTGGGCACACAGCACCAAAAACAGAGCTCCGACCTCCCCTGGGGTGGGGGAGGAGGGGAGTGTTTGCACCAAATACAGATAACGTAGTGCAAGAGCATCACCAGGAGCTGAGAGGCAATTGGCCACACACTGCCATCGGGCTAAAAATACCCTCCTTGAACTCAACATAAAAAGAGCACTAGAAAAAAACCCAAGGCTTGACAAACGACTCCCTCCCTTTCCCCGGGGACACTGCTTGGCCCAGAAAGAGACGCTGCCCTGCTCCAAACGCGCAGCCCCTCCACCTGCTCCGCTTCGCGCCGCAGCCGCCTCGGCGCCAACTGCTCATTAGCGTCTGCTCTGGCATTGTTCGTGCCAATAAAAGCCTCACCTGAATTGGAGCAACAGCCACAAAGCCATTGCTAAATAGGTGCGGCAAGGATTTTAAGGGCCTTTGAAAACCGGGACCCATTCACTAGTAAGCTCTAAAAATAAAGTCCACTCAGCATCACAGGGGTGGTGAGGACTCAGGGGACAATGACGCAGCCTGGGGTGAAATTTTGGCCCTGATGGTGCTGGTTTCTTTGGAGCAGCTGAGTCAGAGGGAGCAAATGGGTACTCCTGCCTTAGAAGTACTATCCAAGAGCTATCCTGGCAACGGCAGGTCAGCTCACTACTTACTTCCCATCAGCAGTGGCTGCTGTTGCATTGCCGAGGTGTCATGAGGCTGCTGGGTCTCAGCCCGGCTGCCAGCAGACAAACGGGCTCATTGCAAAAGCATGACTGGCCCCAAATGGCTCCCAACTGGGCAGGGAGGGCAAAGATGACCCTTAATTTGATTCCTTCTCCCATGCCCGTCTCCGGTCCTTTGCCACGTGATGGCAAACAGTGTCCCCTGCTCTGCGAGAGCCAGCCTGGAGCACCCTTGTCCCACAATGTCCAGACTGTGAGCAAGTAAGGCTCTGCCCTGTGCTGCCTTCAGACTGTAAAGTCTTTGGGGCTGGGACTCTCTACCTGTGCAACGTGTCTGAAGCCAAGCTGCCTGTCAGCATGAAACCAAGAGGGCACGACTCTTTTACACACCAGCCCCCTACCTGGCCATATTAGGGCTCCTTTGTGCTGCAGGAAGGGTGGCAAGAAGCGATCACGTAAGGGAAGATCAGGCCCGTGATGTATTGCATGGGGAGTACACTGGTCCCCGCTGACACTGGTGTAAAGCACCTGAGCGGGGCTGCGTTCGAGAGCTGGCAATGCTGCCCTCGGTACTCCCTGCTCTGTGTCTACATGCACAACTTCTGTGCCAGGGCTGCCCAGCCAGGTGTGAACACCCACAGGCTGCACTGGCAAGGAGGATGCCTGGGCCAGCCACCATCCAAGAGTAACAAGGATCCTCGGGGCCAAAGCCTGCATCTATACACCACTCTGGAGTCCGAGAGAAGGGAGCCCGACCCCAGCCATGACCCCGTCCTCGTCCGTCTGTACCAGCCCGGGCCCCAGGGACGCATTCCTGAGCTGGGACTGTCTGTGCTTTCTGGAGCCTGCTCTCCGCTGGAACAATCGCAGGCAACGTAAATGCAAAGGAACGCGGCCGAGGACAACGGGTGCAGCGATCAGGCCTGGTTCAGCCAGAGAACAGGCCTGACCTAAGCACCCAATTGTGATGAAACCAGGCCTGTTTCTCGGCATGAGTCAGGTGGGGGATCTGCCAGCTTGCCACATGCTTTCCCTGAAAATCTGGACCAGGACCTGATGAGATCAAGGTTTGCCCCATTAGCCATCTCTTCTGGCTAATGGGGCAAAAAGACCTGGGGAAATGAATGCATCAGGAATATACCTCGCTCACGTTTCCAGGAATGAGTCCACCTCCCATTCGGCCCTGCAATTTCCTTGTTCTACATCACCTGTGAGATGGGACAATGGCCCCTTCACAGAGCCACGGAGAACGGCCTGGACGGCCCCCCTCAACGAACACAGGTCAGCCAGGGAGCCTCCAGGTACGGCTTCACGGGCCATGTGCCAGCCAAGCTGTGAGCTGAGGCTTGGGACACAGACCCTGGAGCCATCGGGACACGTGGATGGACTGGATCAGATCGCCTCTGCGGGCAGCCAAGTCCTCCAGGTCCCCGTGCAAGGGAGGGTAGGCTGGGAGGGAGAGCAAGGGAAATCCTGAGTGATCTCCAGGCAGGGATATTAAGGAGATCACTAGTGATCTCTCTGCACCTTGGAGGGTGAAGGGATCCCTTGGAACCACTTCATTTATATACCACCATTGCAGGGAACAGCTCAGGAGGGCTTACACCAACAGACAAGGCAGCTTATGAAAACATTCAGACAAGTAACAGAATAAGCTGTATTTGCCCCAAGATTCAACCCCTTCCTGCTAACAGCTGCCCCATTAAAAATGGTCCCGCATCATTTCCACCAGATGCTCGGGCTCGGGCTCTGGCAGGCCGGGTGGAGAGGACATGCAGAGCTCAGCCCCCACGGTGCCAGGAGGTTGCTCTTGGCTGACCTCGGGGGACTGGAGGATGCAGCAGGCCCCCCCGCTGGCCGGCCACAGAGGCCAGCCCACTCTCCAGGCCACGGAGGCTGGGATATCAAGGGGGGCCGAGCTGTCTCTTCACCGGAGGAAGGTG